CCCACTGCGCCCTCTCTGCCGACCGTGCCTGCTCACCTGTTGATCACCCAGCCTCCTCCTCCTCCTCCGATCCTCACCTCCATCCATGCCGACATCCGCCCTCTCCCTTCTTCCCCTGGCCATCTCCCTCGAATCCCCGCAAGCGGTCTAGCCAAGCCCGATTCCTTGCACCAGGGAGTGCTACTGCCGTACGCACTCCTCCCCTCTACTTCGGCCTTCTTCCCGCGGATGTGGTCTACTGCCGTACAGGCTCGTACCAGATGCCTTGCGCTCATCCGTACCACCCCTCTTCCCAGTCGGGCATTGGTCCTCGCCTCCGATGCCTCCACTGGCCGGCCCGGCACTGGCCTGGCCACTGGGCTCCTCCAGTGTGGCCTTCCACTGTTGGTGTCTCAGGAGCTGGCCATCACTGGCCCCCTCTGAGCCACTCACTATCTTATCTGGGTTTGTCATTATCTACTTGTCATCTGCCATTGTTCCATGGCAGTGATATCCCATCATCATCAGTCACTTGTCACAGCTGACTATATAGTGTGACACCTGGGCACATGGATCCTTGAACCGTTCTCTAAGGATCCCCCTCTGTGCTCAGGTGAGTAGTATACCTCCCTTGTATTTGATAGTCTCTAAGGATCCCCCTCTGTGCTCAGACTCATGTGAGGTTGTTGTGTGCTGTGTGCTCTCTTCCTTCGGGCTGGCAGGAGTTGCCCTTACATAGGGTTTGGGATCCCCGGTTCATCAAAAACGGCTTGGTGAGATGATGCAAAAAAAGTGATCTGATTGTTGGGGGCTGCTACACAGCCCCCGCCCCCCAACCCTGGGATCCAAGTGGAAAATGGATGAAGGGCCTCTAGGGCTTTCATACAAGCCATGTTTCAAGAAATTTGGTTGAGATTTGAGCTTGGGATCCCCGTTTGCAATGAGATCATTTATTTCGGGGCCAATACCACTAGGCCGGACACAAAGATCTTGAGGAACGGGATCAGGAGGGTGGCGACGGCACAGCTGAAAGCGATGAAGGTGCGCGTGTGGAACAGAAGGCCAATGCTCGTGTAGGCGGCTGGCGCATAGAGAACAGACAAGCTCGCAGGCTCGTGGGTCGTAGCTGATGACCAACGGTGACGGCTTGAACGGATCCGTCGTGTTCTCGAACCACTGCTGGTGTCTGCGCAAGGCCAGCTCAGCGTTGCCTTGTCATGCCCTGAGCAACAGCACCCACCACGAAGCTGCCGAGGTTCGAGATCGCGCTCGTTGTGCTGTGCGTAACGTAGTACTGCACCGTCCCATCGGCATAGGTCACCGACAGCCGGGAGCGGCCCCACGTGTGCGGCGTGACCGTGTATCCGACCCACCCGGAGGTCTTCGCATCCGCGTTCGATGTCCAGGTGAGTGCACCCGCAGGCGAGACGCTCATGCCCGCAACCGCGGAGGGGTAGTTCAGGAATAGCTTGGTCTACGAACCCGTGCGAAGGACGTAGCCGAGGATGCCCATCGCGACAGGGCGCGCGTTCGCCTGCAGCGTCGTGTCGATGGCGCGCACGGAGGGTGCCATGTGAAACCTGAGCGCTGAGCGCTGAGCCCGTACGTCTATTGGCTGCAGCACAGCCAAGGTCGGCACGTTCCAGAGGCTTGACGCCCGCCCACTCGTCCTGTGCGTTGGCAGCATGTGGAACTGCCACTCGTGCAATCCCTCAAACTTCTGGCTCTGATAGTACGGTGGATTGCTGCCGTCCTCGGGCAGGAAGTGCCAACCTTCGAGAGGGCTGCTTGCCGCAGGGACGCCGAGAAGCGGCGGAAGGGTCCCGAGGAGCGGGACTACTTGCACGTATCCGGTGTCTCGACCGATATAGGGATCGAACAGACTGCACAGCTTGTTCGTCTGCGCTGCAGTCCGACCAGTGAAGATCTGCACAATCGTTAGCAGCACTCAGTGATGCTTGATAGATCAGCTCACGTTGTTGAACTCGAGGGGAGCTCCCAACGCCTCGATCTCGACCGCGACCGTTTGCGAGTTGCGCACGTCAAACAGTAGTTCGATGCCGTTGCTGTCCGAGGGCCAGCGCCACGCGACGTTGAGCAGAGATTCAGAAGGCAGAGTCGGCCCCAGATTTGCCGCAGCAAGGGTCGAGCCTGAAACAACTGCAGACTGACCGAGATGATACTAGGAGTTGCTCCCTCGCAGCGTCATCCTGCAAGCAACATTCAGCACAATGCACACGCCGCACACGGAAAGCGCACTGACCAGTCGGCACGAAATTGAAGCTCGATGAGGCGAGTGTAAACGAGTGGAGCGTCTGAGAGTTCTTGACGAGCTGGAAGTTGAATGCGCTGGTGTTGACGCGCACGGTGCAAATGGGGGAGAGCGTGGACCAGTGTGCGGCCAGGGCCTTCTAGCCTGCGGCAGCTATGGTGTCTGCGGAGACGGAGCGTAAGCAGTCCTATTCGAAACAGCCTCTGGGCGGAGTGTGAGCTCGTGCTCATAGCTTCAGTGACGACTGACGCTTTCCGAGCCAGCTCGGTAAAGAGCGACTACGCGACTGCCAGGTGTCATTGGGGGGATGGATAGTCGTGCGTGCTCCTGTTCTCGAAACCACCGCCAGGGAAGTAGACAAGGACCGAGGGCAGATTGTCGGCTGTCGCTGTCGTCGGTGCATAGATATGCGCAGGACTTGCGTTCCCGAACTAGCAGTCTTTGGAGGCTCCCTCTGACACCGTCATTGTTACCATACCAGGATACATTGAGGAGCCGGCCGTACTAATCCAGTCGGTGGGGGCACCGGAGCCGCCCATCGCTTGGGCGGCTCAGCGTATCTGCGATGCTCGAAATCCACCTAACATCACAGTCGTCAGTCAGTATGTCCGATACTGCGAGGACGAACGCACAATTGAGTGTCCAAGACACGGCCTCGACTCACAGACCGGCGGCAAGCGAAGCATAGAATAGTGCGGCCGATAGAAACGAGGTGTCACCGCGCGTCAACATCCCGGTAGCCATTGAAAGACCGTGGCGCGCGTTTCCCTGTTTCAGCCAGTAAAGGTGCGCGGATGGGGCCGATGTCGGAATGATACAGAAGGCGGTTTGGCGCAGGTGGCCGTCGACCTGCGTACACAGCGCGTTCGATTTTGTGATGTAAGCAGAGCGCACTTTTGAGTGGGGGGGCAACGCGGGACTTCGAGGTGGCGAAAAGTGCGAGTCAGATGGTGAGAGAAACGCACCTATGGGCTTTAACCCCATCCAGACTGTATCCCGGCGCTCCGCCTTCTCACTCATCTAGTTCCCCAACCATCGCGCCTCTGAGTGCGATCTCCCCGGGTTCTATCTTCGGTCTCCGCGAGTCGGTCGTTCCGAGTCACTTGTCGGGGCTGCTTGATGAGTACAGTGAAGAGGCGATCGTTCAGCTGTGCACCCTGTGCGATGCTGCGGAAACCACGATGCGCAAGGTGAGGCAACGCCGTGCCTCCAATTTAGGGTGCATGTGGCGCACCCTTTCGAGTCGTTTCGATAGGAATGTGGAACGAGATGTAGAGGCGGTGGACGGTAAGAGGTAGGTAGTGAAACTAGCTCACCTGCAGACTACTGCCCCATCCGCGATCTGGAAGTGCTCCTCCCCCTCTTCCATCCATGCCCACCGCCTTCGAATCTTCGAAATCCGTTGTTCTTGCGTATTCGTTCGTCACCGCCTATAACTGCTAGTCGGGGTGCGGAATAGGGGCGAGGCAGATACAAGTGGAAGTAGCGGTGACGCAGCTGAAGTGGTGTCTTCCGGGTACCCTGCTGATCCTACTCCCGACACCGGGAGTCTTCTATCATTGTCGATGACAAGCGAATCTGGCAGGGCCGGGAGCACAGACTACACAGTCATTGGATAGTGCAACAGTTTCTACATGACCAGTCCAAGCCGGAGGAATGGCACAAACGATACATATAATGAGAGATCAGTACGTGCAAGAGTAACAGAGATAGCACAAACATATACGGGACGAATTTCAGATTGGATCCGCTCGATGAAGCCAGCAGGTCGTAGGAGCGGCCTTGGAGGACGGACAGTGGACGGGACGAAGGAACGCTTGCGATACCCCGAGTGACACGATTAAGCCCTCGGGAATGGGGTGCGCCAGAGCACAGTAGATTTTTGGCCAGAAATCCGTGCATTTAGTGGCTGGATATTCCGTGTGGCTAAGTACGCTATTCAGCTTCGGTCGCGTCGTTCCTCTCCTGCGCATCCCAGTTGGTGTCAAAAGAGAGCGATGGACCAGATGTCCCATTCTACGCGGTTGCGGTAAAGCGATTTTGGCAGGCTTCCGCGTGCAGTATACCAACAGACGTGGGTGGTTAGCCGGCTGAAGGTTCAGCGTCGTAAGAGACTCACCCAAAGTCCCCGAAGTTCTATGCGCGTCGCGGCACGTCCCAGACCTTCCTCCACCTCCTCTGGCCTCGAGCCGCCCCGTCCTTTCTCCACAAGCGCGTTCGTTCGTTCGGAAGTCGTTGGTCGATAGTGGGCGTTGACAGTGATGGATGCGCAGATGCGAGGGGATCGTGACCCTAGTCACAATTGATGGATGTTGCAGAGTTTGTTCCGTCAGACTCATAGCCAATCGAACCAAGGTAATATAACAGTCAAGATTGCGCATTTCCTCGCATATGTCTATCTATCAATTCAGCTGAAAATACCACGGATGTTGTAGAAACTAATTGCTGCGTCCCCGTACAATCAAATAGCCTGATGGCCTGGCGAAAGTCGATCTGAGACACGCGTGAAAAGCCTGAAGGGGGACGCCTGTACACCATTCCGTTATTGAGACTTATTAGCAATAATTTTCCGCTTTCTTCGAATTTTCGGACAGGTATTAGGGCCTGTGTTCCCGAAATGATACTCTGGTAGGGTATAGATTTTTGACTACGTAGTATGGAATGTTCACCGAACCTGCTCGTGTTTCCAATGGGATCGCATCAGGAGGGTTTAGTTACTACTTCTTATATGCCGATAGATACTGCGTTCAGGCAGAGACTACATGCAGGACAATCACATGCGTGAGCCTGCCATCGTGTGTTACTCGTGTGTAAATGGGGGTCGAGCATTATGTTTCGTGATTTATAGGAATTCCGATGGTAATTTAGAAGTATCCACCGCCCTTCGGGAAACACCTCTCGACCGAAACCGCATTATTTCCCCACCACTTGGGCGCCGGCGTGACCTTGACCGCAGAGAAGGCAATGAACAGGATCAGCATGTTCAAGTTGTATCCTGTGTCGGCTGCAGCACCCGCGATGTATGCATACGTCTTCCACATCTGATACTTGTACTTCTTCAGGTACAGGTGGTTGATCGCGCCAAGAATAAACCACGTGAGTACGTAGTTGGAGAGGTAGCCGTAGAAGTTCTCCATTGTTGATGCAAAGATCTGGGCAGCGCTCAACATGCGTGCCTCCGAGCGCGGAGTTGGCTACTCACGGGAACATTCCACAGGTCGAAGCGGGCCTTGGGGAACCGTCGGTGGAGCAGCCAGAGAATGACCGGCACGGTTGCCCCAACAAGGAAGCCATACGGAAGGATGGAGTACATCGGGTCGTTAAATAATTTCTAGATGAACAAAATTAGGCTGGGGTCGGGGGCAATGTGATTGCCTGGAAACACACCTTCGGCCCGACAAGAGCGAATGAAATGCCCTGGTTGTTGAGGGAGATGACTGTCGAACCGGTCCACTGGTTGTTTGGATCGATCGCAGAGCCATCGAGGAAATGGCCCTTTGTGTTGACAATCCAAAGAATGGTGGCGTAGCTAGACAAAAATTCGGATTCAGGCTAGGGATAAGACGAGCAGAAAAGAGGCCGTACTTGATAGGGACGCCAACGAGGATACCCCATATCTGAGCAATCAGTGTAGCACGAGGCGGAATGTGGAACTGAAATGTGAATGCTCTGAGCAACGAAAGTAGCACAAAACGACAGGTGATACACACGTAATGTCCCAGCTTCATATCCGAGAGCATGCTGCAGGCTTCGTACCAACATTGCCCGGAAATCGTGCGGTACGAAAGAGACCCAACTGGGTGACGAGAGCCACCCGCGTTGATGAGATAACCATAAAGCAGTTCGTTGAAATATCTGCAGAAAACGTCAGCGCGCGGACCGATATGGCTCAAGATGGAAGCATTGACCCGACGGGAACTTGGTACCCGGAGACCGCATAGATATACGCCATAGGGATCACGATCACGATACCGAAGCCGAACGCAACGAACACAGTATATAACGGCAGATACAGCTCGCCAGTGGCAGCGAGTGCGATGATGATGGCGGCAGGAACGAAAAACAGGACTAGATTCCACCAGATGGGAACAGTGGGGTAGGCCTCCATGAGCTGGCACAGCTTATCATCGGATTGCCGTTTGCCCGCACGTAACGAGCGGTATGTTTTCATCAGCAGCGGACCCTGGAAGAGAACCAACGACATGAAAGAGCCGAGATATGCAACGTAGCTGCGAAGCCAGTCAGCGTCGGGCGGTGTACAGGGAGATCGATAACGCACGAGAAGAAATATCCCCAACGCAGTTGAGCGCTCATCTTGGGTGCACCAATCTCCGCAAACAACGCTTCGTTCAGCGTGTAGTCGGGGTTCATGAGCTTGGAAGTAGGGTAGCGAGAGCCGTTTGTGAGATACAATAACTGGCTCTGCATGGGATACAGCGCATCATCCCACTTGCCATTGATCGCGCCGATCGGCACGAGGATCCATGCGCCAATGACGAAGGCCACAAAAGTATTGGCCTGGGCCCAGAATGGGTAGTAGATGAGTGAGGACCCGATGTTGGACCAGTCGAGCGTGAAGTTGAGAAGGCCCGCGCCGCCGAGACCCGATCCGAGGAAGTTCGCGATGGGATCGTCCGTTACCCAGCACAGGAATGCGAGCGACGAAGTGAACGGGAAGATATACTCCGGCAAGAACTGCCGACATGGTCAGACACCGAACGAATTGGCTAGAAATCAGCGTGCACTGACCTCCCAGAGGAAAAAGATCAGAATTCCGTACCAGAACACGCGCATTTGCTTCTTTGCGGTGGCGCTGTTCATCTCGAAACTGGAGCGCATGGCGTTGAACACAGAGACTTGCTGGAGCGTGAGAGGGAACATCTGAAGAGAATCGTCAGCGATTTGCGAGCCGGGACCAGAGACGGGTAACGGACCGTGTTAGGATTGTCGATGAGAAAACTTCGGCACAGCGTCGCGAGCGAGAAGCCAATGAAGACACAACTCCACATGAATAAGATAGCGAGCCATCCATTCATCGGCTGATTGTAATATACAGCCAATGGGGACAGTACATAGTCCCCGAGGTTGTTTGTCGCGCCAGTGTTCGCGCTACGAGTCGCAAAAATCAGCACACAAGGCGAGCGAATGACGAGCCGCAACATACGCAAGGACGATGGCGACATGCTCCTTGATGGAGAAGGGACCAGGGTTCTGACAGATACCGAGATAA